CAGGGAAATCTGACTGCTCTTTGGGCTGGAGAGGGAGGGGGAGAGGAGTGGGGGGAGGGGGAGAAGGGTGGGAGGAGGGGGAGGGAAATGGGAGGCTGGGAGGAGGAGGAAATTTGTTTTATTTTTTCTTTTCTCAATAAAAAAAAGTTAAAAAAAAACAAAAAAGAAGAGGAACTTGCTTCTGGTTAAAAAGAACGTTTATTTTATATGTATTTTAAATTAACTAAAAAAGGTTTCCATATGACATATTATATATATTTAATTTTTGTTGATTATTCTCCTACCCACTCCTTTTCTTCCTACCCTCCCATTTCTCTTGTATACTCTCATTCCCAGTATTTCCTCTTCCATTTTATTTTATTATCTTCCTTACCCCCTTCCTTAAAGCCCTACTTTTCCCAAGTTTCATGGGGTCCTTTCTAACTTCCTAAATTTAACTAACACTTACGCAATCCTGCTTACACATATTTAAGAGCTAGAAGCTAGGGATCACACATCAGAAAAAGTACTAAATATTTGTCTTTTTGAGCTTGGGTTGACTGGAAGCAAGAAAAAAATTGTGTCCTGATGCACACATAAAATTTTTTCACTCTTCTCCATATAAAGTCTCTGTCAAGGCTCTGAGAAGTAGATTAGCTTGACAAATCACTTTTTGGTAGTAGCATTTTGGGATAAGCAACTAACACATTTTGGGTATATCAATTTTTTTCATTAAGTGACAGTAAAATGCTATTTAGGAATGTTTATGAGCCCACCAAAATCCTTGCAACTGACAAGTAAGTTAATTTTGACTTTATTTCTATATAATTTTTAGTAATTAAATTTTATAAGTCACAAAAATGAAGAACAAGAAAATTGGAATTCTAAGATACGTAAATTAAATTAAAAAAGTCTTCAGATATTGCATAAAAACTAATTTTATTTGCAATTCTTAAGATACTGGCTGCAAAATAGTGCCAATTTATAAATAAAATGATATTAATTTGTATCTAGAAACATCATTTTCTGATTCAAAGGCACTAGGTGGCATACAATTATAAATTTGAAAATAAGACCTCCAAAATACTTGAATATATTATCTAAATTTGTTCACATAAAATAACATTTGAGAAAAAATATAAACATTTGATGTGGAATGGTCTTCTGCATGCGAATATGTTTTATTACCATTGGTTAACAGGTTAACAATGAAGTTGATTTTGCCAATAACCAGGTAGAATAGAGCCAGGTGGGAAATCCAAGCAGTAAGATAGGGAGAAAGAAAGCAGAGTCAGGGAGATGCCATCGCTGGAGAAACAAGATGTAAGGTAATGCCATGGCCACATGGCTATACATAGATGAATAGAAAAGGGTTAATTTAAGATGTAAAGGCTAGTTAGTAATAAACAAAGTCATTGGCCAAACAGTTTGGAAATATTAAGCCTCAGAGTGAATATTCAGGAACTGGCAGGCTGGAGAGAAACCTCCAGCTACAAATGGCACCAACATGTAGCATGAGTTCTAATAGGTCTTAATAATAATAGCCTAGAGTTAGATATTGGGGAAAATGTTGAGAGATCAGAGAGATGAAGGAACAAAACCACAGCCACTCAACTTCCTAGTCAAGAGACTGAGTTCCTGTCTCTTTCCACCTTATCACTTTGTTGCAAGGAGGGCCTGTCTGTCCCCTTGCAACATCACTTCCTGTCTGTCTCTTTAGACCTCCAGACCTCTATGGTGAACTATTCTGCCCTCTGATCTTCAGGTCACTTTTATTTGTACAAACAAGACATCACCATAAACATCATTACTAATTACAGAAAATATAGTTGTCAAATGTTAATACTAAGTTTTCCATACATTTTTATAACTGAAATGAGGTAATTTTATATCATGACTAGTAACAGATCAGAACTCAAAGCAGAAATAGAAGATTTATTGTTGTTAGTAAACTACTGCTTTTGGAGGGCTGGACTTGTGCTTTTACTACAAATTATCTTTGCATACAACTCTGTTGAAGCAAACTATGGTTTGTTTATTTTTTTACAAAACATCATAGCTGTTCATTGTACTAACCTTATGTGGTCTAATGTAATATCTCTGTAATTTGAAAACCAATAATAGATTGAAGTTAGCAACAAAAAACCTAAGAATTTCTAGAAACTTGTTCTGTCAAGATGATACTAAATAAATAACTAGTTGGATGGAAGTGAGAATACATAACCAGAACTTGGTGGTCTGAGGCAGGAGGATTGCAAGACGAAGACAAGCCTTTATAGGCAGTTCCAAGCCAGCAAAGACTAAATATTGGGTCTCTATGTCAAAACAAAGAAAAAAAGAAATACAAGTGGTAAAGGACTAAAACAGCATTGTGGCAGTTCTGAAAACCTGTCAAAACCTACAGAAACAAAGCAAATGACTAAGAAACTGTCCTGGTCAATGTGGTTATAAAATGTATGGCATTTTATTGAGCCATTTTAGACAAATATTTTTTAGTGTGACATGACATGACTTGAAGGCAATTTTGGCCCAATACATAGTTTTCTTCTGTGAACAAGAAGCAGACTTAATCTGATTGTATTTTTCATTACTGTAATGAGTCTCAGGCCATCTGAGGGATCGGTCTCTTTATCTATGAATTGGAAGTTCAGAAAGACAAACGTGGTGCAGGTGAGCTCACAGACTAGAGGAAATGGTGGAAAACAATGGACATGGGTTGTGAAAATCTTATGGAGAATGATGATCCACAGAAATGTGGAGAAAGATAATAGTAATTGTGAAATAGAATAGAATAATGGTTCCTCGAGAAGCTAGAGTGAGGCTCAGACAACTTAAAATATTTTAACATAGCTACTAAAACAGAGGAATTGTTAAATATGCATAAGTACTCAGTGGAAACCTGTGAACAGACTAAAAGACCTGAAAACACTATGCTAGACTGACCAGTGAATGTCTTCATAAAGCCAGGATGCTAAAACTAGAAAAGTTTGTTGCTCCTCAAATTATCAATATAAAAAGTAGTGTATGGAAAGAAACAGGACACTAGTGTCCATTCAGAGAAAGAAAATAAATCTAACAAAATATTCCAAGAGAATCTCTAAGTAGTGGGCCTATTAGAAAAAAAAACTAAACTTTAAAAAATAATTTTCACATTTTATTCAGACTTAATGATAATCATTAAGCAAAAAAAAAAAACCTTTTGGTAGTTATACAAAAGACAAAAATGGAATAAAAACATATTATTAACAAAACAATTTAAAATTATGAATTAAGACATCCAAACAGGAATAAACAAAAAAAGGAACTGCAAATTAACAAATAAGAATATTAAGTCCTTACCTGTCAATAATTACTTTAAATGTAAATGGATTTTATTCTCTAGTCAAATATAGAATGGCTGAATAGAGAAAACAAAAACAAGATTCAATAATCCTTTGGCTACAAAATACTCATTTTAGATTCAAGAACACCCATATTCTGCAATTAAAAGCGTGAAAAAATATATTCTCTACAATAAGCAAAAGAGAACCAGGGTATTTACATTTAATATATGTTAGTTTACATTTAAGATAGGACCTAATTATGTAGCCTAGATTAGCCTGAGACATTTGGATGTCCTTCAGCAAATGGTAAACATTATTATTATTAGAATTAATAACACTGTCAGGAAATGGTGACATATGCCTATAATTGCAACACTCAGAAGGCAGAAGTAAGAGGATAACAAGTTTTAGTCCAGATCAGACCAAGCACAGCTGTGTATCAAGTCCTTATGGTAAATCAATCATTCAATAAATAATTAAATAAAACACCAAAAGAGTAAAAAAAAATAAAGATGCATAAGGTGATGAGGATATTAACGATATAATTCAACATTATATTAAATATGCATTTTGGTAAAGAACAAATAGAAAAATGAAGTAACTCCTAATCACCAACTTCCTCTTTGTTAGGGGCTTAGCTAGGAAGGGTGCTTTCAGGTCTATGTCATTGTTTTTTTTTTTTTTTTAATTTTCCTTCCCCCACTCTCACTGTCTCTATTGTTTTTACTTTGAGATGGGCCTCACTATGTAGCTCTGGTTGGGTTGGAAGTTGTATGTAAATTAGGATGACTAGGAGCTTGTGGTGCTTAGGAACTTATACCACTACAGTCAGCTATTGCTTTCCAGTTTGAATTATAAAACCATAAGGTAGAGAGGCATAGGAGAAAATGATGTCTTACATTTGGAACATCCTGGGAGCATCTTTCCTTCAATATTGTGGTTGAAGAGCTAAGGATGTATGGCTAGTAGCAAGGAAAAATAACAAGCATCCACACCCTCTTATTTAAATTCTCAAAATCATATTTTTTAAGGCAGAAGATCTTAAGAAAGCTTCTGAGGTAGACTTATACTTCACAGTTAAAGAGATTATCTGAAACATACCTAATCAATTGAATATGTAAAACAGTAAAGAAATAATACTGTTTTGTTTCCAGGTCTAAAGCTTACTAAAGACTTACTCTGGATATAGCCTTCCAAATAAGTGTCATACAAAAAGATTATTTGATTAATGGTCAACTTAGCATTTGAATTAGGCACCTACCTTTAGACAAATCAGTTGGCTAAACTGCCACAAACTCTGTTCTTAGCCATTGACATCTAAAGGGCTGATTGACTCGCTTGCCTATGTATTCAAGGAAGGCAATTGGGTACATAACCAATTTAATTTTATTTTAGATGTGCGAAATGCTATACTTTATATAAAGGTGCCATTTCTTGAACAAAAATTTTTTTATGTCAGCAGTAGGATGCTACTAAATGACTATATTTCTTATATATTTTTTAAAGACTTCACCATTTTAAAACTTGATATGCACAGTATTCTTCAAGGTATTGAAAACAATCCACCATTTTCAAATAAAATCTCAAATTGCTTAAAAATATGAGTTGTGGCCTATGCTATGATCTAACTGTACACAAACATTGTTTTTCAATCAAGCATGCTTTTAAAAATCTTCATAAAACAACTTAATACCTTACCTGGTAGTTATTTTGGTTTTGTGATAACCTCAATTGGTTTGATGATACAAAATGTGGAGAAAAATTACTCCGGGATGGATTAGTATTACTGTACATAGTACTCGGTGCTGTATGCAATGAGGTCCGTGGTGTCAAATGGTAGTCTCTATTTTGATACAGTACATTGTCTGACAAATCTCTAATATTCACCATTTGTGAATTTGGCAGGTTTCTTCCTGGTCCAGGCAAACTTGTACTTTGGTTCTCAGCTCGAAGAGAATTGCCACTTTCATAAAACCTTGAGTAGCTTGTTATCTGTGCTCCCATTGATGCCAGCTCTTCTTCTCTAGCATACTCATCCTCTGCATCAGCAGTCTCCATCGCAATGGACAAACAAGTTCCTTCTGCTGAACCAGGCTTCTGTGTGGTATTTCCTCCCAGAATTCTCTGAGGGTAATCACTGACTGCCAATGAAAACACTTCACGAATTTCCAAGTTTTGTGTTCTACAGTAAGGGTCTCTAACAGTTGGCTTTTGCCCACATAAGTTATGTGATGCCAGACCTGCATGTTCAGGTTTATTTGACCTTTGAATGCCAACTGGTTCAATTTTGCAAGGTCGGTGGCACACAGATGGCTTTTGAGGTACTGTCATTTCAGAAGCTTGCACCGGAGAGCTTCCATAGTTTTTCTTTGTGTGGTTGTACACCGCGTTTCCAGCATTTAGTACGCTTGTCTGTCTTGACAAAATAATTGTCTTTTCCCCTAGGAGCACAGAAGCATTTTTACAGTGTGCTACTTGTCTTTGAACAGGAATGTGCAATTGAAATTCAGTGTCATTTTTACTGGCTGGTTTCTGAAGAGGAATTTTATGTGCTTCTGTAATTTGTGTATTTGTATTCTTTGTTGTCCCTTGCTTACTTGATGAGCTTGCTGGACTATATATACCAGTTAAAATGACATCATTATTGGTAGAAGTCCAAGAAGATTGCTGGCTTGAAGGCCGGGCAATATTAACCATATTTCTGACTGTAATGTCTGGAGCTGCCAATGAGGTACCAGAAACAGTTCCTGCTGTTCCTAATTCAGAGTTCTTACTACTCATTTTTCTTCGCTTATTGCCAACCCACGTCTGAAAGGATAAAAGAAAAAAATACAATGGCAATATAATAAAAGGTAACAATGAACTTAGAAAATCCATTTCCATGTAATAAATTATATTCTTGTCATAGAAACAGAGCTTAGACATGGGCGAAAGGAAAAAGATCCAATAAAAGACAAAGTAACAAAAGTCTAACAGCAAACATGATTAAGTACTTAATAAATACATGAGAACATCAGTAAGAACATGTTTCTCTCTGCCATATGATCTACCAAATTAATATGTCCCAAGAATTGCAAAAATATTGAAGAATTCTAAACGTGTTTATATCCTATGGCCTATTAAATACATTGCCAAAAATATATCTTTAAAACATAATTACAGTTTGACCAGTTATAAGTCTCTGCACTTAGTACTTCCCACAGCAAGAAGGAACTTCTCTGACCAAAGATGATCGGGGCACTAATTTGAGTATAAACACAGTTATTTAGATGGCAATTTAATGGCACATAGTGTCCATTTTGCAAAACAGTAGCAGTAGCTTCCCCACTAGGGCTGATGACCTTCCCAACCATGTGATTTTCACAAGGTTTATAGTACCGGTAGTGGATTTCTTCCTGTAGCTCGGGACTCATATCTGAGATAAGAGTAGTTGGTTATCCTTTTAACCTACTTGAGCCCACCCCTTACTCCCCAAACTATCAGCAGGTAGCTGATAGTTGATATAATAATAGCCATGGGGAAGACTCACCATGCCCCAACCATTCCTGTGAATCTATAGGAAATTAATAATTTCTGGGGTAAAGGAAACACGTATTTTATTCAGTGTCATAGCTTCCAGTAATGAGCTCATGCTCCTGTAAACAGTTCCTCCCCTAGAACCCTGTAAAGAGCCCTGATATGAAACTCAGAGTCATCACATACTGATACAATGACAAAAAGAGAAAGACACACTGGAAGGAGAAATGTGACTAGGTTGAGAAGAGAAAGGGGATCATCAGGAGTGGGAGGTTAAGAGTAGAGAAATGGAGGTGAAGATGACCAAAATACAGTATATAAATGCATGAAAATGCCATGATGCAATTCATTATTATGCATAATTCATTCTGCTAATAACCATTAAAATGTAGGCACAGGTATAGACAAAGCTTATAGTTAATCACATTTATTATTTATTTATAATATCAAAAAAAAGAAAGAACACTAAAGTCAGCTCTTTAACTCATTAGAAAATACTCATTGCATTATTAATCAAATGTGAATTCATAATCTTCAGACTTAATGACATCTATTGGGGTGGATATATATAATGTGGTTAATATCATACTATTATTTATATTATTTTTAGAAATATTCATTATTATATACTTCATTTTGCATAAATCTTTGTGTTGGTGATTCCTTGTCATGCAATTCTAGAAAAGAAATAGCAAAAATCTATTATTTTCTAAGTACCCTCCAAAATATGAAATTTTTTTACCTCAAACCTCAAGTTTAAATCTTCTGTAGTTTTTGCTAATCTGATAAAAGGTACATGATTGTTGCTTTGATTGGATTTCAATGGTTATTATATTATTTTGATAAATTTTATCATGCATTACATATACCTATTTTCATATTGGGATATTTGCCCTTTTAACTGATTTGGAAGAGAAGTTTTCTATAGAGGTAGTAACTTGGTTATATTATACCATTCTTTTGTTTATCCTTAATTTATAGTAGTCATTTACTTTTTTGTACTGAAAAAGTTTCATGCAATAAATATATTACTTTTAAAAACAGAAAAAAGTAATGCATAAAGGTAATACAATAGGTTGGCATTTAGAATTTAATTATAAAATACATTCTTCTACATAAGTAATTTATTATAATTACCTTAGTATAATTTCCCTGAATCATAGTTCTTCTTAAAATATGCAATAAATATATTGCATTCCATAATGTGATTATGCAAATTTATATTAAAAAATTCATGCCATATGATAAACTACTAAAACACGATAATCTTTTAGGGATTAAACAAAATAAATGAATAAATGAAAATATTAAATAAACTAACCTCACAATAAATGATGTAAGATTTTTTTTGCAAGTTTTTAATGATGTGCATCTGAAAACCTCAAAAATTATCCAATTTGCAGTGTTTACACAATGTATAGACAACACTAATTTTGCTATAGTATTGCATGTACTAGATTCTACAATGACTATTCTTTATATATTTTAGTTATATTAGTAGGTGCTACATTTTAAATTATATAGATGAAAAAACTGAAGTCCAAAAATAATAACTTTGGGGAAGATACCTTGTCAGCAAGTAGCAAAAATCTGCTTGCTCTCGAATGGATTCTTCTTTCATTACCTCATATGAAGTGACTAGAACCTCCTGAACTAGTTACCGATCGACTATCTTACTTTTATGAGTTTATTTTTAATAAAGAAAGTATTCCAGAAACTGTGATGTTCCCCTTTGCTTCACATGACATAGTGGGAATTTGAAAGTCACTCTGACTTCCTTGAACAGGAGTAGCAGGATCTACAAGCAAGATCTGAAATATATGTAAGCACAAATATCACAAGGGAAGAAAACAGAGGAAAAACTCTTTGGAAAAACACCATTTCCCAATAGGTGAATTTCATAAACATTTAAAATGTTTCCAGCTTTTCAATTTAAAAATGCATAAGAAGAATTATGTATACTTACATTATAAACTATATATAACTAAGCTTACAAAATATTGAGGAAAAGCATGATGAATTCGTAAGCTTGATTCTAGGAACTAGTATATCTAGAGGCATCTTTCACAATATGTCATACTTATATAATTTTGTTGTTTACAAATATAACTGCATATTATACATAATAGCACATATAGTTTGATATATTATGTACACATCAAAATTAAAATGCAGTAAAATATCATGTACATATGAAATTCAGCTATCTAGTTATCCAGAAACCTCATTTGTCTGAAACACAGTCTACACAGATTAAGTTAGCCCATTAATATAGTGGCTACTAAACTCGTAGCCTACTTTCTCTGATTTTACACATACTTTGAACAAATACAGTATCATACTTTCCTACAAATAAAAAACAAAAACATAGAAATGGAATTGGGAGTAATAGAAGTTCTTATAGGGCTCCCTGATAATACTTAAAATTATTCACTAAACATTGCTCATTAAAAAGGAGGGAGAAAGGATGCAGGCTCAGTCTCTGAGCAACTACTAACATTGTATATATGTGCATGGACAAGGAAAGGGAGGTATCCAAGTTAAGAGTTCTCACTCCCTGGATTCCATTTTATATTCTTGTTCCTCAAAACCCATTTAGTGGCAGGGGGAGTTTATATTTACAGTTCTTTTTATTTATTTCCAAATCATTAAAATAATTTATGGTTCAGGGTAGTGTGAAATACAGAAAAATAAGTAGAAAAGAAAAAATACTAGCAGACTGGTAGGAGGAGGACATGAAGCTGAAGAATACTGACCTTGCATTAAGGAATAGAGTCTAAGTAGGTATGGTAGTTACTCTTGATAACTGCTTTTGTGTCAATGGGTAGACTGAAAGTGTGGATGATACCTTTAAATAACTATAGTTCTGAGTAAGGTTAAAATAGAATTAGTAGCCCAGATTCCCCAATTACATATGGAAAATAAGAATTTATTGTCAGCAAAATTTCTGGAGGTTTGGAAGTCCTGATAGAGAAACGTCCACATCTAATGTTAAGCTAATCTCAGTTTTAATAGTAACAGAATTCAAGACCACAGTATAGTAGCTCTTCCTTGACTTGTAAAACGGGGATATTATAAAATATTTTTGAACTGTTACAACAAACCATACATTTAGATGGATTTGCTAGTATTCCTACATGTGTAAAACAGTGATCACATCTTGTTTCTTTATGTATGACTTCATGTATCCTTAGGACTGACACTATATAGCTAGTTGTTCATTAGCTCCCATTGTGAAATTCTCACAGTGCTTTAAGAATTTAAATTTTGGAGGACCATGGACTTCCCACAGGGCAGGGAACCCTGACTGCTCTTTGGACTGGAGAGGGAGGGGGAAAGGAGTGGGGGGAGGGGGAGAGGAGTGGGGGGAGGGAAATGGGAGGCAGGGAGAAGGCGGAAATTTTTCAACAATAATAATAATAATAAAAAGAAAAAAAGAATTTAAATTTTCTCATTCATACTATTTTAAGGAAGCTCTGTTTACTAATTGCTTTGCTGGGTAATAATATGTGATTAGTAGGATAAAGAAAGCAGCATCATTAGTCTGTTTCAGAGGCCAAATCATTGACCAATATTAATTCATATGATGTTCAACTCAAAGTTTTCAGTTTGTTTCCCAAATGATTTATTTGTATACCATTCCCATGGAGTGTTATATTTCTGAGTAGAACCTTTAATTGTCCTTCTTATAGTTTTAGATCATTAATAAATATAAGATTTAAGTGGCATGTAGTAGGCAGTTTGAAGAATAGTTAAAAGCAAAGCAGTATTGAAGTTTAGATTCAATTTCAATAGATCACTACTAAAATAGAAAACCATCTGGAGTAGTATATGTGCTTGCTTATATGGCTACTAAATAAAATACAAATATCTCACTTGTCATGTTGACTCCGTGTACAAAGCAATTGCTTTGTTAATCTTGGACATATGGTTTTTCTCTGTTAGCTTACATAGTTGTAAATTTCCTTTATACAGAGACTCTAGCCCAAACTAGACTATGTAGCAAAGGATAATATTAAAGTTGTATGGATTTGCTACAAATCCCCAGCTGCCCTTACTTCCGTACCACCCAACAAAATTTACACAGTGCTGAGAATAGAACCCAGGGTTTTGTACATGTCAGGCAAGTAGTCTATCAACTGAACTATATCTCCAGCCCAATTTTTAAAAGTACCAATAAATTAATTGTACTTATGCATCCAAGATAATTTAAATTACATATAGAACTACTAAATTTTATTAGTTTGTTTTTAGTTTAGATATATAATTTCTTTTTCTTTTGAGACAGGGTATCATATAGTCAGACTATCCATGAACTTACTAATATAGTTTTTCTTTAGTTTTTTTACTCTATGGGAACCCACCAACCAGCTCGCAAATAAATACACGTGGAGACTTTTTCTTTCTTATGAATACTCAGCCTTAGCATGGCTTGTTTCTAGCCAGTTTTCTTAAATTATCCATCTACCTGTTGCCTCTGGGCTTTTATCTTTCTCTATTCTATATGTCTGTCTTCCCTTCTTACTCAGTAGCTGGAAGTGTAGCTGGGTGTCTGGCCCTTCGCATCCTCCTCTCCTTCTACTTTTCCTGCTTCTTTCTCATCCTTCTTTCTCCTCTTATTTATTCTCTCTGCTTCCCAGCCCCGCCTAGCCTTTCTTCTGCCTAGCTATTGGCCATTCAGCTCTTTATTAAACCAATCAGATGTTTTGACAGGCAAAGTACAACAGCTTTACAGAGTTAAACAAATACAACATGAAAGAATGCAACACATTTTTGAATCATTAAACAAATGTTCCACAGCATAAATGAAAGGAACACATCTTAAAGTGCATTACACTGCATACTATGTACTACAGGGTGAGCACAAATTTCTAAACACCCTGTTTCCACCTCCCTAGCACTATTATCACAGGTGTGCCTAATCAGGCTTTGCTGCTTGAATGGGCGCTTTAAAATAAGACCCGTATAGTAGAGACAGCAAAACTGTTTCACAACTGACTGAAATAAAATATTTGGGATACATTTTGTGGGAGGATTATAAACTCAAAAGAAAAAAATTCTTACCTAATATTAGCAATAAATTTCCTCTTTAAGTCCTGAAGAATTCTCATTGCACACTACTGCTTGTGTTTCTCTGACAGGGGCTCATGAAGGTCAGGATAGCACCAGCATGCTATGAGCCCAAACGTGAACTTGGACTCCTGATTCTCCACAGCCATTTTCTCTCCAGTGCTCTGACTACAGGTGTGCCCCCAGGACATCTGATTTTAGAGTGCCTATTTTAAAATATGAGGCCTTAACCCTATACAAAGAATTATAGGCAGCTGAGGAAATCTGAGAGTAGGAGAAATAGTCTTCCCCTGGGAAGAACACACCAACTGGTGGTCCATTGCCAAAGGGTCAGCCCTGAAAACATACATACAAGTAACATATAGATTGAACAGGTTATTTCTCAGGAATATATGTCTATACATATGCAAGTATGTGTGCAGAAAATATTAGTAAAAAAAGAGGCTGTGAATTTGAGGTATAATGGGAAGTGATGTATGAGAAGGCTTAGACGGAGGAAAAAGAAGGAAGACATGTGAATATAGTATAACTTCAATAAAAATCTATATCTTGACCTTTTTATCAATCATTTTACTGATATAATCAAATTATTGTCCTTTGGCTTATAAACACTTAAATTATCCACACAACCTTAAAGGCTTGTTCATTTTTGTGGATGGTATTTTCCTGCAAACGTGGATTTTATATTATATAGAATTTTGTGGTTTGTTTTAATGCTTTTTTATGGCAATATCTATTTTCTTAAATCTTTGAAGTTAACACTTTCGTGCAACCTCTTTTTTGAGACAGGGTTTGGCTATGTAGATAGGCTAGCCATGAATTTATAAAGACCCTCCAGGCTCTGCCTCCCCTATGCTGCAATTATGCTCCGCAGCTCAACAGCCCATTGAAGAAGCCACATAATATTTTCAAAAATTACAACACTCCTGATCTCCTGATCCAGGAGAGAGAGAGAGAGAGAGAGAGAGAGAGAGAGAGAGAGAGAGAGAGAGAGAGATCCCCAAAACAATGTAATGAAATGCATTAAGCATAACTGACATATCCTATGGCGCACGCCTTTAATACCAACACTCTGGAGGCAGAGGCAGGCAGATCTCTATGAGTTTGAGGCCAGCCTGGTCTACAAGAGCTAGTTCCAGACAGCTTCCAAAGCTACAGAGAAACCTTGTCTCAACAAATGAAAATAATAATAATAATAAGAAATCATGAAACAGCAATCAAAAACTAAGAGTTCAATTGTTTTACAAGTTTTCCATTTAAAAAAAGGAAAAATTATATACTTAAGAAATACTTGTACTTAAAATGCTGAAAATAAAACTCATTGTTCATGAATTACAATAATTAAACTTTACCCTAAACTGCTCAGGAGTAGGATCTAAAATTTATGCCTACCAGATATAAGCGCCCACCTCTTGCAAATGCCTAATTCATGAAAAAGAAAAAGTATGCCATACAAAACCGGTATAATGAAAATTTAAGGTGACGATCTAGCAAACAGACTATATATGGGGAAAAATAAAATGGATTTGAGTTGCCAACATTTGGAGGTCATAAAATTCTCTTTCAGCTCTATCTAAAAAATAAACTATCTTTAAATTTCTTCTTTACATACACTGCTTATTAAAATACCATCAGCAGTCTATAATCATTATCATTACTTAATGTCAGAATATTTTTATTATTTTTTGTGGGGGAGATTAGCATGCAAAGAATAGGTTTCTTATAGAACTTATAGTGTTTTCATATCTCCGTGTTTTACATTTTATACCTTTTTCTATATCTCACTGTTTGTTTCATTTTGATTGTTTTTGTTGGATGTTTTATTCACTGTTTTAAATTCAATTTACATTTAGAGTAAATATTTAATATAATGGACTTAAGTTCTTCTGAGAAAAAACACAATAACTTTATATTAAAAATAATGAAGATCTCTTTCAAGTTGGACATATAACAGCAAAAGATAGGTGAGATCATAGACTTACAAATCTACAAACTACCCTGCTAAGCTTTTGTTTGAATGAAAAAATAATGAAAATTATATTGGGATTTAGTTTCAAAACAATGCATTTTTGTACCACTGATGCTTTCCTGGAATGAAGAGAACTGACTGCTTTACACAATTCCTTTTATCTTACACAGTGCTAGACTCACAACCTTACATTCTAAAAACTGAAATCTACTACTCTCACTGTTTTATGTTTTCACTCCATACTCAGTATAAATACAAATATCTATATTTCTATAATCTCTATATTTAAAAGCAATAAAATTAGCTTTAAGGGAAAGAGTGCAATGACAATTATGAACTCTGAGGGACGAGCCACATCACTGCTGCCTGGGAAGACAATTTAGTTTAAAGTAATGTTAAGACAAAAGGGAAGAAAAGTCCAAAAAAAATTACACTTGGAAAAAAGTCATTGTATAAAGTGCAATCTCAACAACTTGAAATATCTTATTATTTTAATAAAGCTATTAAATACTTTTCTTTGAGATTCAGTGGTTAATTTAAATGTGCATTTAGAGCTATCAATAAAAGATGTTTCTGTTTTTTAGAGAAATGTGAATATTATAGGTGATCTCAAGCAATAAGAATACTTCTCCCTATAATAAATGGCACAACTTTCTATTTGAATGTGAATATAACTTTAGTTCTTAAGAAGAACTTTTGAAACAGTTCCATCCACAGATCTTTTCTCTGGGATCTTTGAAGATATGGCAAAACAAACTGGAAAAAGATATATCATTCCTTCCCCCACCCCAAAGTAGCCGAGTGACTGCCATGGATGGGAAAGTTGTGAAATTTTGAGTCACTAAGGATCCACACCAAAAGGATTTGTAGAATGTTTAGATAAACATGAAAGGACCAATGTATTCAATAAAATCAGTCCTTAGTTCTGTTAGATTTATCACTTGCTATCACCTCATTGCTGTTCAGATGCGTGTAGCAGCTCTGATTTCTTTTAACAACAGAATAAGAATGGTTTCTTCCCTTGGGATTCCCTGTCTCTCATTCACCAACCACTAAATATTTACATTTTACTTAGAAAGAAATAGATATCTGTAAAAAACTATTGTACTTTCCAGAAAAAAATGCTCAAATCCTAAATGTCTGAGGAAAAATTCTAAATACAACAATAAAGTGAGGAACATGAAATTGCCTCGAAAAATCTGCTTCACCATCAATATGGAGGCTCTAAGTAGATTAAATGAGCATTTCAAAAAAGCATATAACCAACAAGCCAAAATTAATGCTACTGGTATTTATTGGTTTGAAGATTATGTAAGAGGTATGTCCACACTGCAAGGGTTTTAGTGTTCTCAAAGTATTTACGAAAACAAGTATGACTGTGTGGTATCTCTATTTATCAAAATAGTATTCTTACACCAGGGAAATGAAGCTGTGTATAAAGTTAGGACTTCATACCCTGAATACCTTTTCTTATATTAAGCAGATATCATTTGTAATAAAAAGCTATAAATTAAAGTGCAAGACCTCAATACTTACCCTGACTACACTGAAGTCCAGCTTAGTCTCCTGTGCACACTGTAATATGAGCTGAAAGCAATTTTTACTTTGATTTGTCATTCCATTTTCATAATAACGCTGTAAAATCCTTTGTTGTTCTACAGTAAATACAGAACGTAGATTCATCTAAAAATAAAAGAAGATACTCTGAAAATTGGAATTAAAATTTGGAAGGTGTAGAATTTGAACACTTTTGTTTTCTTGATACAATTTCAGAGCTTCTGAGCTGAACAACTTATTTAAGTAAATTAATCATTGGGAATGGGCAGTAATTTGTATCCTAGAGGGAGACAGCTTCTCCCTAAAAAAATATACAAACATTTAATTTGCTTAGAAAAGCACATACTTCAAAGTCAGAAATATAGAAAATGAAAAAAAGCAAAAAAAAAAAAGAGGCATGCTCTTATCTGGTTAGTGTCAGTTCATGGGGAAAAACGGCTTTCGCTGAAATAAATATTTATGGCTAGTAAAGCCAGAGATGGTGTTAGCCATACACAGTCAATTATCAACAGGGACACTCACTGTTCTCCGTCAAAAAAAGCATCTGGCATATGTCTTAACAGTCAGAAGCCATGCTTGCAAACAAGGGGACGCTACTCTTTTTTTTTTTTTCTGAGATAAAAGGAGTTTCGGTATATATTAAAACAAAACCTCTGTTTAATTTTGTTTGTTTGTTTGTTTGTTTTTGCTCTTGAGATAGGATTTCATGTAAATTCTAGAATTATAAGGGTTCACAAACACCTTCAGCTCAACAAAACATTTCAGTAAAGATTAGAAAAAAAGAGGAGGTTAATAATCATGAATGTTCCTTTGCTGTATGTAATACTAACCAAACTAATTATTTTAATAACTATAGTATCTAAATGAATATTCAAAATCAGTATAACTTACTAAAACAATGTGGAAACTCTGTCTTGTTCAATTGAACTGATACCATAGTAATTAGACAAAGTAAGTTTACTTTTGCTGCCAATAGATGAGATGTTTAATAGGAAGGACTAAGAACTTTGTGTATTTCACAAATAAATGGCAAGTCAAACTCTATTTTTGAAAGGATGAATTACAGTAGTGTATTTTTATAAGGAACACTTGTAATCTGATTAAGTGAGTTTCAGGTTTTTATTTAAAAATCTGTCACACTTGGACCTAGAGAGGCTTCCAGGTGCCCAAGGCGAGGTCCCCAGTTAGTTCCTGGGGCAGCTGAAGATAGGGAACCTGAAATGATCCTATCCTATAGACATACTGATGAATATTTTGCATATCACCATAGAACCTTCATCTGGCGATGGATGGAGATAGAGATAGAGACCCACACTGGAGCACTGGACTGAGCTCCCAAAGTCCCAATGAGGAACAGAAGGAGGGAGAACATGACCAAGGAAGTCAGGACCAAGAGGGGTGCACCCACCGACGGAGACAGTGGGGCTGATCTATTGGGAGCTCACCAAGGCCAGCTGGACTGTGACTGAAAAAGCAGGGGATAAAACTGGACTCTCTGAATATGGCGGACAATGAGGGCTGCTGAGAAGCCAAGGACAATGGTTTTGATCCTACTACATGTTCTGGCTTTGTGGGAGCCTAGCCAGTTTGGATGTTCACCTTCCTAGACCAGGATGGAGGGGGGAGGACTTTGGACTTTCCACAGGGCAGGGAACCCAGACTGCTCTTCAGACTTGAGAGGGAGGGAGAGAAGAGTGGGGGGAGGGGAAAAGGAGTGGGGGGACGGGGAGAGGAGTGGTGGAGGGGGGGAGGAGTGGGAGGCTGGGAGGAGGCGGAAATTTTTTTTTCTCAATAGAAAAAATAATAAAATAAAATAAATTAAAAAAAATCTGTCACACAGAAAGACTTTCTGAGGAAAAGCTTCTTTAGAATTAGGAAAACTTCCACAACAAAACATCCTCAGTCAAACTAAGCATTCTTCCTAGTATAGAGTGTATTGAATGATCAAGTTCATTAATATGGAAATACAAATTATTTTACTCTACTCAGAGTATGTATAATAGTAAATCTATCCAACAAAAATTAATGAATTATAAAGTGTAACCCTATACTACTATGTATGTTATTGCTATTTTGTTTTAACTTTCTTCCTTGCTCACACAAGTCCATCTCTAACTGTTAAGAGATTTGATTAGAGAAAATTAAATGTAAGAGAGGTCACAAGAGAGATGAGAGTAGAGTTTCTTTCAGGAACATTCAGAAATAAAGACCTCCATTAACTTTCTGCAGGAGAGCTCTGAAGGATGTTCAGTAATGTAGATGTCAACTTGATGAAACACTCAAGGATGATTGCGACAGTAGGCAGGGACAGTGTCCATCAAAACAATTTTGACTCTTATGGCTTCCAACTCTGAGTTTACCTAAATGGTTCAACCAAAAGCAGAAGAAGATCCAGACAATGGGAGTCAAATACCAGAAATATCTCAACTGACTTAGAAACCGGTATCATGGGATGAATTCTGAAGTTTGAAAACTGCAAATTATGAATGCATAACTAGGATAATCACTCTTTTTCCTGTGCAGATGTACCTACAGCAAAAAGTCTATACCGCAAGAATCAGGTGATACCAAGTGTGAGGATACCTCCCTCTAAATATAGGATGGACTATATTCCTATTGGCTAGCTGCAATCATTACACTTACCCAAATACAATAAGACTCTTATAAAGAACAACAAGACTTCTCCACTGATAATCAATATTCAATTGTAAGCAGCTGAGCACCAAACACATCTATAATACTGATAACAGGAAATGCTAAGAAATGTTTTGTCTTTCTCTTAAATTCATCACTAGTAGCAAAAAAGATGCTGCTCAAATGAGCTATTTTTACTGTAACAACTTGACAAGCATTCAGAACAAGATGGCATTAGATCTACCCATCCTAGCTGTTTGTTTATATTAAATGAACACACAGCCAAATTTGCTAACCATTTACAAAGCAATAATAATTAGAAAGATCTTTTTTTAAAAAATAATCACTTTATGTAAAAAACAAAACAGCATGATCTTGGTTCCATGGAATCATCAATATTGGCTTAGCATGGAAATATGGTGTGAACTGGATGACTAATCATTGAAACCACAAGTTATTTAGCCATATCACAATACTCTATGCATCTCCCATACAACAAGCATTCACAAGACCATAGAAATAAGACAGCCTTAATGCTACCTAGGCTGAAATGCTTACTATTCAATAAAAAAACTTAATTTCTTGAGCATACTGTTCCTGGTGTATAAAATGCTGGATTGCAAAATTTGACTTATCTACTAATTAATCTCAGTTCCTACAAAACAGAAATTTGAGGACACTTTCCCCAAATTCTCAACAATGTAATATTTATACTATTATCATAAATAAGGACTTAAATAATTAATTTCAGGGATTGAATTTCTCATGTCCCTTTTGGGTTTAAGATTCATTGTCTTAATGTGTTAATAGAAAAGATAAATTATGCTCAGTATTTCATACTCAAGTAACCAGAGCAATGGTTAAATATTTTAAGTTTGTTGCTTTAGAAGTACTTAAAACATACAGTTTCTAGAAATGACTGCTTCTTTAGATGTACCCAATAGCCAAGGCTATATATTCATGTGGAAATATTTCAGATAAATTCTGATATGACAGTGCACTTATATATCTGATGCCACACTTAAATTTAGACCAGGGTCCTCACTACTTAAGCTATTTGAAAATTCACTCACAGCTACTCATTCTTTGAAACTTATTTTACAAATGGGATCAGGTACACAAATCCATCCCTAATTCACATATGATACTTTCCCAATATTAAAATTTTGAATTTTACGTCAGTCATTGGTGCTTTTCTTTACAAAATGGAGAGTTAAGTCTAGTAAAAACCACATACATCTTTGACAAGTATGTCTGCATTTACACTGTCCTCTTTATACATCATTATTATCATTCAGTTTTAAATCTCATGCAGTAAAACTAAGTCTTTTGCAAATATGGTATTAGTAAGGCAAATTCATGTAGTCATAAACCTATCATTTCAGTCAAGACATAGAATATTATAAGCTCAAGCAAGCAATTTCTTTATGCTGCCTCTTTGTCATCAATGCTTCCAGTGACCTCGGTTTGTGTCACCCACTAATCTATCTGTTCAGATAATTTTGACATGTAAACAATCCCACATATATTGTATCATACAGAATGCTCTCCTAAGCTTTGCTCTTTTCATTCAGCATGTTTTATTTCATATTAATTAGGGTGTTCAATACTTTGCTTTCTTTTCTTTCAGAGTTTATGTGTACAGATAAGTGTTTTTGCATAGATATCTAGGAGTGGGATTGCTGGGTCATATGCTTAAGTGTGTGTTAAACTCTAAGGTAACATTACTTCATGTCTTCATCTGTACTTGTTACTGTCAAGACCACTGAAAATGTGGTCAATGGGTGTGTCATTTGTACATTTTTATAGTTACATTACTTTTCATTTTTCTTGTGGCTAATAACGCTTAACATTACTCATATACTCATTTGCCATCTGTGTATTTTATGTGTGTATCTTGTTCAAATATTTTAGCTATTTTTAAGCCATCATTGAATTTTCAGTGCTCATTACATATACCGAATTTTGTATACTTTATTGTCTTAAAGGCTGCCTTTCTATCTGTTAATGTTTTTTAAATTAGTATTTTAATATTATTTTGTTTTACTGTTACTTTTAGATTATTGTTTTTTTCATGAATGAGTGAAAGAAAGGAAGTGGATTTGGATAGGAGGGGAAGTAGGAAAGATCTTGGAGGAGTTAGAGCATAGAAAATAATAATCAAAATACGTTGTATGAAAAAAATCTTTCGATTTAAAATTTAAAAAAAACAAATAAAAGAACTTGAGAGGGAATAAGGTGCTGGGCTTGCAGAGGGGAGGGCCTTGGTTGCTGGGAAGAAATGTGGAACAGGTTGGTGGGAGAAAAGAGAAGGGGGGATAATTTAGTTATAATTTTATATTTTAATTGACATTTGAATATATATTTCACAGAGCAGGAGTTTTAATTTTGTTAAAGTCTATTTATATTTTCCCTTTTATTAATTGTGCTTGTTTATATTAATTATGCCTAAAATGGACTATTCTATATCCTATACCTTTTCACATGAATTT